GAAGGGAGGTAAAAACGAAAATGAAAATTCTTAGTGATGACTTCGAAAAGACGAAGATTGTTCTCAACAGAGACCTTCAGTAAAAAAAAAAGGATGCAAAAGAGAGTATGAGGTAAAATGAAGGTATCCACAAGCATTTAAAGGCAAAGAAAGGATAGTCAATGTCATCTAGACCATCCATTGTGAAATGAGGGATTTAAAAAATTCAAATCAACGTCCCGATTAAGCCTCTTGAAATGATGTTGTTTTGAGAATCTTGCAATGGAAGTTTTATCTTATTGGATCAGATACCACCTCTGATCTTCTGACATATGTTGCTCATGCACAATCTACGGGGAGCAAATATCTCTCACCAAGTTGTGATCGGTTCAGGGTTTCCCTTGATTTGGTCGAAAAAGCTTTATTGTCAAAGATCCTAGACAGACAACTAGGCACCTTGATTTAAGACCCCATCGATAGAGGTCAGAGTTATACTATGACAAACGTTATGACAAAGGAAGAGCTCCTCCCTTGATGGCATCGCCACCTAAACCAGGAAGATGACATGATAGCTTTGTACCCCCAATCACAATGCCTAGGTATAATGATGATCTAGTTATGGCTGAATTCACCAACTAATCAAATTCCTTCAAAAGAGTTGTGACAAGTAGCCCTAAGTCAGAACGCTATAGCTTGACTATGATCAGAATGGCAAGATCGAGGCTATTAGTCTATATAAAGAATGAAAGATAATCAAAAGGGCAGTCCGAAATAAAATTCTCTCTATGTAATTATAAAATTCTAGCAAGACAACAGTTTTATTCAATTCATCTAGAAGTTGATCAAGAAATGCTACATTATTTTTTGCGTCGACGCCTTCTATCTTTAAATGAGTGGAATTAGTTCGAATTCTGCTTGTTGATGTGCAAATTAAGTGAACAAAAACGTCTATTTAAGAATATTATAACTAATATTCCAATGTTTGACACAGTTACATATCAATTGCTATGGTATTTGAAATATTTTAGTTTTCACGCAGCTAAAAATCCTATAACCACCTATTTGATAGGTGGTATTGGAAGGAAAATAAAGGACAATACCGATACGAATGGGAAATGATGCTTTATAGATAAGAATTTAAGCCTAAAAAATATTCTTGGGTCTGCCATTTGTTAGGTTGGAAAATCTTTATTTTATTCATTAGTTTTGAAATATTTAAAAATGCTGAAAGAAAAATTATTCCTACAAAATGCAATCCGACATTAACACATGGATAGTGGATGCACAGATAATTTTATTCTTGTTCAACTGTATAAAAACAAAATTGTTCTTGCTTCAAATTATTATGTTTTTAATAATTTCACATGGGATGCCTTCATGTACAAAATGTCGTAAGGTAGAAACATTTTGAGTCTGTGAATAATTTATATATTTTTAATAAGTGATGTAATAAATTGAATGGAAAATCGAAAGAATTAATGTTTGGCTAAGCAGAGAAATAGTAATTTTTGGATAATTTATCTTTTTTCCTACTTTTAAAAAGGAAAACTTATTTTTTTGACGTTCTCGTCAAAATTAGATCTATAAAGTAGTGATGTCCAAAATACAATAAAGACGTTTACTATTTTTCTATTTAATTATCGATTTAAGTTTATCGTCGAAGTATCTATCTCAAGTAAAGTATGATAAGCTTTATACAACAAAGTGTATACTTTACAATTATTTATCTACTTTATGGAAAATGAAACAGAGATAATGGGGATATTTATCATTTCGTGAGGATGTTAATTCGTTTCCAATATGAGATGACAAGCATATATCTTATGTAAAATGATAACTAAGCATCTGAGAATAGGTTCTATGAGCTTTGATATTAGAAGCTTGTTTGGGAGTGATTTTGGAAATTAATTTTTTTATCATTAGGAGAAAAGTGGGTCCACCTGTAAGAGAAGAAGTCGGCTAGAATAATAAAATAACAGTCAAATAAATCAAATTTTTGGGGGGAAAAAATCACTCCCAAACAGGTTCTAGAAAACATAACAGTGCAGGTCCTGAACCTTTCACATTGCATTTTGATCCTCTATCTTTAAAAAGTATTATTTACATCATCAACATTTTATATCGGTAGCACTTAGGTCCCAAAGGGATGATTTTACCCTTTAATTAACAAGTTAGTATTTTGTTAAAATATTCACACATCAAGTTGCCTGCTTTTGATTATTTCCTTTTCCCACAAAAATGGGAGCATTAGCAGCAGAAATCTCTCAATATTTCATGTCTATTGCACTTTGGTCCTCAACTTTTAAAGATTAGTATGACATCCTCAACGTTTTTATTTTGGTAGCATATAGATCTTTGGTTGACGTTTCTACCCTTGTCTTCAATTAACAAGTCAACATTTTGTTAAAAATGAGATGAAACACTCGCACCCTCAACAACTAGTCATCTATAAATTTGTAGGAAAAAAAATTGTCATTTATAAATTAGTGAAAGATGTGCGATTTTTATACTTACCTATCAAGGTAACGTGATACAATGGATGAGAGTTAATTTCTAACTAACCTAAAGTGATAGAACTTGATAAGTATAACTCTTCTGGTAAAACTTAATAACTGACCCTCCCTCCTAAGTGAGTTTCAATTCTCTTTACTTCAAGTGTTTAGCTGTGATACATCAACTCATTGGCGGGATAGGGATACTCATGTGGATATTCATTCTTCCTCTCGTGAATATTCTCAAAATATTTGACAATTTCAGCCTTGGGAGTGGGAGGTGCTTCTCGAGAAGTAATTGGCATGCAACTCCCATTTCGAATTCAAGAGAAAACATTTGAACAAGAGGAATAAAAAAAGAGTTTATTCGTATTCAATACTAGATGACCTAGCCTCCAAGATTCGCAATAGCAGGTGGTGTGAACGACGACCAAGCAAATCTTGACATTTAAAATAACGATTTGAATCTTAATAAGATGCTAGCACTTCTAGGAGTTAGTTTCAAGAAGAAAACTCCTAAACCCCAACTTCCACATCAGTTTTAGACCTTTTAAAATTCTCTAAAATTCAACGATAGCATAAGTTGTTCCTCGTACATTAATGACAAAGTATTTTAACCATTTTACCGGTAAAATCTCTCAAGAAGACCTCCTACCTATGTTGGTCCCGAGTTTCCACTCAAAGCGTCATTGAAAATGTGGAGAATGTATAAATAAACAAAGTCTACATCGATTAATGTTGTAGATATTGAGTATATAAAAGTCTCGACTACTTTACTTACTAGGTTAATATATTGAAATGGAACCTCGTGTCTCAATGAATGGTACCAAAGCTATATCCTTACAAGTTGTGAAATAGTTATGTCCAAAATGTACCCATGTTGAAGCACAAGACAAATGTCCAATTGCAAGAATGAAGTTGGTGGACCCTAATCATGAAGTGAGACCTTGATGAAAGGTGCAATATTTTACGATTTGAGGAAAAAAAAAACACATAAATTATCACTTGAGGGAATCAATATGATATTATAATTCATTTAGGTAATTGTTGAAAAAGTACAAATAAAGGTTTCAGAGTAAAATAATGATTACATAAAGGGTTGAAGTACTCACTCGATGGGTCAATATTTTAGATTGAAATGACAAAAATCTAAATCAAAACCCCTATGACAAGTTTAATAAACTCACCCAAACGTCATTTTACCAAAAAAAACAAATAATTAATAATAAAAAACAAATAATAATAATAATAATAATAATAATAATAATAATAATAATAATAATAATAATAAAAAAAAAGGACCAAAAATAATAATAATAAAAATAAAATAAGGAATGTGAAAATGGAGGAAGGTGAAAAGTAAACCAAAAATTATTTTTTATTTTTTCAATCGTACATTTTTAATCAAAATTTATTGAAATTTTTATTTTTAAAAATAAAGAAAAAAATACAGATTAGTTTTGCTAAAAATAAAATTTTCAATAAATTTTGATTAAAAATGTATGATTGAAAAAATAAAAAATAATTTTTGATTTACTTTTCACCTTCCTCCATTTTCACCTTCCTTATTTTTTTTGTCCTTTTTTTGTTGGTGGGGCCCGTTTCTTCAATTTTTTTTGTTGGTTTTTTTGGTTTTTTTTTCTTTTTGTATTTAAAAAAGTTCAATGACCTTTTTGGACCTTTGGCAAAGTTTAGTAACCATTTGGACTATTAACTCCTATATTTATTACTAATTTGTAATTTTTTGAAATTTTGGGGTATTAGTTGCAATTAATTCTTTTGTTTTCTATTCTATTCTTTTTCTTTTATTTGAATAGAGTACAAAATCGTCAAAAAACAGTGAAAAGGACTTTCAGCGCAAGAAAGGTGGTAAATAAGGGCAAAAATGTCAAAAAATGAAAGGTAGGGACGTTTTCCACAATAACCTCGAAAGGTAAGGATATTTTGCGCCAATTACCCTTAATTCATTTAGGTAATTGTTGAAACAGTACAAATAAAGGTTTCAGAGTAAAATTATGATTACATAAAGGGTTGAAGTACTCACTCGATGAGTCAATATTTTAGATTGAAATGACAAAAATCTAAATCAAAACCCCTATGACCAGTTTAATAAACTCACCCAAACGTCATTTTACCTTAAAAAACAAATAATTAATAATAAAAAACTAATAATAATAATAATAATAATAACAATAATAATAATAATAATAATAATAATAATAAAATAAATAAATAAATAAATAAAATTTAGATTAAAAAAAGGGAAAAAGAAAAGGAGAAATCACATAAATGTGTTACCAAGGATAAACCGCGCTCGGCAGGCACCCGACCGCACAGAGTGGAAACTTCTCAATCTTTTAACTATTTAGCACCAGTGGTTCGCTGACAGTTAATGGAATCCATCCAGAGATGAAATACCTTAAACACCCTTAAATCAATCATAACACTGTGTCATAATCCGAAATACATATGGTCAAAAGAGTAATTTGGCTTGCCAACGCGAGTATAAAAGGCCGTTGCCGCACCTCAATCAAGTTTACTAGATCAACTAGCAGCACTCGACATAGCAAAATTACCATACCGTCGTCTCTGGTATCCAATCAACGTCTCCGGCCGTCGATAAATTTCTCTCTTTTTTGTCCAATTCAGAGGTTAATTATTAGGCTCTGTTAAATTGATTTTTCTTCGGAAAACTCACCGGCGCTGGGAAAAGTTGTGCTTCGTATGATGGGATCTTGTATCTGTCCGTTGGAAACTCCGGCGAGGTTGCTCTGGACCACTAGTTTCTTCCGACACAAGCTGAGGCTATTCTAATATACTCGTTATACCGTCGTATTGTAACCTAACTTAAAACTCTATTAAAAGTAGAGTTAATTCTTCACTGGAAAAACTTACGCACACGCTTGTGTATACGTATAGTATATTGGTATTGGATTGCAGGAGATCTGAGAAAAGAAATGGATTTTGGACGTAGTTTCTTTAATTCCTCGTATTCTGGCAACATGTTTCCAGGAAATGGTGATTCCATTTTTCATGGTAATTTCCTTTTCTTTTTCCTTTTACTCGCAATTTAACTATAACTATGAGATGCATGCGATACTTCGATTTTGATTTTTGATTTATTTATTTTTTATTATCATTTTTTATGTACAGTTAGTTGAGTTTAAATACTCTCTCTATGTTGAAGTTATTTATTATTTTTGTATAATGATGTATATGATTTTTTATATGTGGCCTAATATATAATTTGCAAACGTTATAGGAGCAACATCGGTGATGAGCATGGAGGAAACCGCAAAGAGGCGACCATTTTTCAGCACACCGGAAGAACTCTATGATGAAGAGTACTTAGACGAGCAGTCGCCGGAGAAGAAGCGCCGACTCACTCCTGAACAGGTCGATTGATTTGAAATCCTTATCTACTTTTCCAGTAAATTTGGTATGGTATTCTTGCTTTTGATGCGTATCTTGTTATCACCTTAGCATCGCATCTAAAAATTCCTTTTGGATAAAATTATAGAAGGCATATTCACTCTCTCTATAGGAACAATATCGGCATCAAATTCCCTCAATATCTAATCAGGAATTCGTGTCCATTGATTAATGATTATCTAAATAATTAAAATTTGGCCGCGTGAATAAGAAAAATTCTCCGAATTTCTTGTAGTATGTAGTTACTCTTTTTGTATGATTGATAGGTGAACTTGCTTGAGAAGAGCTTTGAGGCAGAGAACAAGCTGGAGCCAGAACGCAAAACCCAGCTGGCCAAATATCTGGGATTGCAGCCTCGACAGGTGGCAGTATGGTTCCAGAACCGCCGTGCACGATGGAAGAACAAGCAGCTCGAAAGGGATTACGATCAACTCAAATCCTCCTACGAGTCCCTTTTGTCCAATTATGACTCCATTCTCAAGGAGAACGAAAAGCTCAAAGCAGAGGTAAAATCACATCTAGCTAACTTAACTGTCTTTTAGTTTGTGTACAATTTCTCAAGCTTTTGAATCTTCTTCTTTTTATAGTTTTTGCCCTTCTCTTTAGATGCCATTTACGAGTCTGAAGTATTAAACAGGATAATTCAAAAAGCTTATGATTAAATTAATGTGAGCAGTAAATAAAAAATAATAACTTAAGTAATTAAAAATATCGCAGTATAATACTTTGCTCTTTTTTCTCTTGGAACTGGGGGATAGGGTGGGTATTGGAGACCAGTAGTTTGGGTTGAAAGTCACAATTCTTGCGGGTGACAGTCACTTGAAGTTGTCTGGAAGTGACAATAGTCTTCTAATATTAAGGTTTGGGGAGCATTATTTGTTGAGAATCCCTCAATCCTTTCTTAAGTGGACAAGGTGTAGCATTGAAAATTTTTCTAGAGTTGCAAAATTAGATAAAATAGGGTACAATATCTTTATGGGGAGCACATATAGAAATGGAATTCATAAATTGATAAAGGGTCTACTTGATGTAGATTTTTTTATTATATATTTTGTTAAAAAGTGATTTTTTGAAGAATGTGGGGTTAAAAGGAAGGGAAATGTTACGGGTTCTATGCAAAATTATTTTATTGGAAGAATGATATATATGAAAATGAGTTTGGAAAAGAGAAAATTGAGTTTCAAAGAATCTGTACCAAATGGGGCTAGGAGAACTTCGGTAAATGAATTTAGAATGAAAAGTTGGAATATTTGGATTGGATTCTAACTTAAATTGTATTCTAGTTTAACATCTCGCCGTGGCTCATAGGGATGGCAAAAAAACCTTCTAAACCCGATACTCGTAGGCCCGCTCCAAAAGGGAAGGGGATTAGCCACTTAATTGGGTATTCGGGTTGAGGAACTTCGAGCGGGGGTGGGTACGGGTGACTAGCGCCACCCTATTTAACTTTTTTTATTTATTTTTATTTTTTAAGAAATCAATATTTTAAATAAAAAAACTCCACGAAATTTCATTAGTTCTAATAGAATATGGCAATTAAAATTATCCAGGGAATATGACAAATAATAAAAGTTTTAGTTTACCAAATATATTTGAATAATTTAACTCTTAAAAATAAATAAATTAATTAAAAAATTTAATAAATATATCATTGTAATGAAGACAAATAAAATGAATTTAAAATAATAATAATAAACAAGTACTAAATGGGACAAGGTCCCTACCCACACCTCACCTCCCCACGGGATACGGGGCGGGAGAGGTTGCACCGACGTCAACCCGCTTCATTGTCTTCTCCGCATCTGGCCGTTTGTTTAGATGGTAAGGAATTTTTAGATTT